CTGGGAAGACTTCTGTCTCTTTGGTTCCCCCTGTGGCTGCTGCGGGGCTTTGGGGCACCAGGTGGTGAGAGGGGGCAGGAGCCCGAGGCTGGGGGCGGGGGCGGGGGTGGCAGTGCTCAGTTTCTTGGGTCTCTTGGAAATTTATGAAGAGGATGTCAGGGAAAGGGCTCCAGGGTGGACGTAGGGAACACAGGTTAGAAATGGGGTCGGGGGGTATTTTATCCCCTCTCTCCCCATTAAGGGAACGTTTAAATGATTAAATCAAGCACCTTGCAAGAGAGAAGACGCACACACTAACATCACCACCACCAAGGAAACAGCTCCTGAACCTCAGAAGCTCCCCATGCAGTCTGCTGATCCATTTTCTCAGAGATCTCTTCCTTTTTTCCAGCTCTTTCCCTCCTCTGCAACACTTGCAAAAGAGCCAGTAAAGAGCATGCATTCATTCATAATGCCCTGACACAGATACTTATGGAGCCGACGCCAGTCCCTAGGGATACAGGGGTCTGAGAGACGGGAGGACATAGACTGGTTTTGAGCTTGTCTCTGGGAGCAGACAACCTGGGCTGGAAACCCTGCCCATGCTCCAGACTATGGGAGAACTATGGACCTGGGGTCCTGCATAACCCCAACGCACCCCACCCCCAGCCTCAGTATATGCAGCCTGGAAATGGGGAAATCAAGAGCACCCTGTCCCTAGTGCTGTCCTCAACGATAAGGTGAGGAAAGCCAAAGCAAGGGCTGGGAATAGGGCCTGGTCTGGTGCCAGACACTTGTTTATTCTTGGCTCTGCTGAGGTTCTCAACCTGGACCAAGAAATGCACGTCCATGCTCAAAAGAAAAACAAAAACAAACCTGAAGTCTCTGTGTGGAAAGAGGCGCCTGTTCCCAGTTCACCAATATTTATGGAATATTGTTCACCTATATTTATTGAAAGTTTGTCAAGTACTTGGCACTGGGGGCTAAGGGACAGGCAATGTGAAAAGTGATCAGTGAGTATGGATGTGTCGGAGGTGTGGGGCGGGGTCAGAAGATGTGAGCAGCATGTGTGGTGGGAGCAGATTGGCCAACAGGGCCAAATGCTGAGGGGATAGACAAGTCAGCAACTATTAGAGAGAAACAGAGGCTGGAGTCCCACTTTCTCCAGAAGGGAAGAGCAGCTGCTACTCTTTCTAGTAGGAATCAAGTGAGGCTGCACCAAAGATGGAACCTCCAAGGTGGGCTCTGAAAGATCTATTCATCTTTCCACCGTGTCAAGGCAGAAGGGAAGACGTTCCAGGCAGAGGAATCAGTCTGTGCCGAAGGCCCTGTGACATGAGTGCACACATGTGGTCACTTCTGGTCATGCCTAATAGTCTGGAGTGGGCAGAGCTCATCGTCTCCAAGAGCATATGGTAGGATAGGTCCGGAAGGTATTGGGCCCTGAAAGGCAAGTTAAGGTGCTTGGACTCCATGCCCAAGATCACGGGCACCACTCGGCATGTTCAAGGAGGAAGTGGTATGATCAGAACTTTAGAAGGAGTACAAATTAAACATCAGTACACATATAAGTGTGCATGCGTGCATGCACACGCACACACGTGCACAAAACCAAGACAGGGCTGACAGAACAAAAAGAACGAAGTGGGATGTGACCAGTTCCCGAAGATAGAGAACATCCCTTCTCACTGCCCCTCCTTTCATTCCATAAGTAGGGTTCTCACAGTTACCGTGAGCCAGTGGGGTCAGATATAAAGCAATGACAAAACCGTAGTGCTTTCCCTCAGGACATCTCCACTGCACTAAAGCTTAGGCTGACCCTACAGATAACAGAAATGCCAGTAGAGGGCTGTAAGTCCTAAGTGATTGAACTATGGTGGCCATGGAATTTCACCTGCTCAGCACATATTCTCTCCTTCCCCTCCTCCCACCAATCCACCTTCTTTTGGTAAATAAAGCTGATTTCCGTAGTGGCAGCATTGCCTGGACCTGGGCAATCCCACACGATAGAACAACCGTGAATCTAAGGAAGTAACTGACTGACTCATCGTGGAGTGCCAGGCAGTGAGCACTTTCCATGGCTGCCTGGAAAGCATCCCAAGATGACTGAAAAGCAGGCACACCTCACCAGATTGCAACGTCCAGCTCTCTGCCCCTAGGCAGGACCAATGCTAGCAAAGGCAAGGGACAGAGACCTAGGAAAAGCCTGCTGTAAGAGCCCGTGCCTGACCAAGGTGATCACTGTCATCACTGTTAGGAGTCATCTCCTGGGGGTCTAGGTTGCATGCAGGCAGGGGGCAGATGAGATGTGCCTCACCATTCCAGGTGGTTATCCAAGAGGGATCAGAGGAGACAGAGGCCGAGGGGGAAGTAATGATTGCTGAGGAGTAGGGGATGTGGCGATGATGAAAAGAGCTTCTTGGCCCATTGCTAGATTGTTAGGAGACAGAAATGAGAAGGGGCACTAACTGGGGACCAAGTCGAGGCCCAGGACACAGAACGATCTCTTTCTCTGGCTTTTTCTTCCAGCCCACAGTGCCAATAAAAATCAGTGAAACAGCAGGAAAAAGGTTCAGGTAAGTCATGCTATAGCCAGCAAATCTCCAAACCTGAAGACAATCCCTAGGATCCTGAACCTCCAGCAAGAACAGGATTACTAAAGGGACAAGGACAGCACTCCAAGTCCCTTCTCAGGGGTAACCATGGAGTCACCACCTCCTTTAGTTTGTGGTCAGTTTCTGCCACCTGCAGTCGAACGTGTTCCTGACTACTACACACTGTTACAGAGGTAAAAATAAAGAGCCTTGTGGAACATCAATGTCGGAGGAAGTGCTGTTTCTCTTTCTTGATATCTCTCTGTCTTTCTTTCCCTCCCCCCCTGCTCTCTCTCTCTCTCTCTCTCTCTCTCTCTCTCTCTCTTGACAGAGGTAAAAATAAAGAGCCTTGTGGAACATCAATGTCGGAGGAAGTGCTGTTTCTCTTTCTTGATATCTCTCTGTCTTTCTTTCCCTCTCCCCCTGCTCTCTCTCTCTCTCTCTCTCTCTCTCTCTCTCTCTCTTTCATGATTCAAAAAGTATTTATGGTTAGACATACTCCCTGTCTCTTCTCGGAAGGCCTTCTATGTACCATGAATTCTTCTAGTCAGAGGGTTTCTGCACTCAGGGGCCTTATTTTCTAGTAGGGAGGCAGACAAGAGACACGTCAGAAAATATAGAAACAATTAAAGGTTGCTATGACTGCCCTCAGGGAGATACACAAGATGATTTGGCACATTTTACCTAGAACCTCAGAGAAGTGGCAAAGCTCAGAGAAGGCCTTTCTGAGGCCAATGACGAGGTGCCAGTACTGCAGGAAACCAGGGGAAAAACCTGCCCAGCAGAGCGAACTGCTATTCCCCCAGCCCTGTGGCAGAAAAGAAGGATGCTGGAGGGACAGAAAGGATGTCATTGTGGCTGGCGCCCAGTGTGAGAAAAGGTAGAGGGAAGGGATGGAGGAAGGTGCAGTGGTGTGCAGCAGCCACTCTGAAGACTTTGGCTCTTGTTCAGAGGGCTCGGGAGAGCCAGAGGGAGGATCGCATCAGGGGAGTGTCATGATATAATTTACGTTCAATCATTTCTCTCTGACAGCTCTGTGTGGGAATTATTGGAAGCGGGCAGGGCACAAAGGAAAGCAGGGAGAGCAGTTAGGAGGCTCTTGCAGTAGTCCAGATGAGAGACAACAGTGGCTGGGCCCAGACTGGAAGCATGAATTTGGAGGATAGTGCATGGATTCAGCTGATATTTTGGAAATAGAAGAAACAGCACTTGCTAATGGATTAAAGGCAGTCGGTGAATGAACTTAAGAAATGGACGATTACTATGAGAGAGTTTTCTTGTATGTCTTCATCACGGAGGTGTTATATATGGTCGTAGGCAATATGAGGAGTGGGCGGGGTAGATTTGGAGAAGGGAGAAAGACAGTTGGGGGGTTGAGGTGTCAAGAACTCCTATTTGCACATGTTTAGTTTCTGAAGTCTGTGTGTCATCCATAGAGGCCAGAGGAACAATTATTGAGACGACAGGACACAGA